TTTTGTGGAACCTTATGAAGTATTATTATAGAAACTCAGATTTTTTTGTAAACCCTGTGTACCTGTAAATCCTTTCACTTTGGAGACAAACTGCTTTATCTTTTCAGATTAACTCTCAAGAATGTTGAAAATACCTCACCGACTCTTCTTGTTTTTAGTGAAGTATAGTTGATTTACAATACTGTGTTAGTTTCAGGCGTACAAGCAAAGGGATTCAGCTTTCTATTCAGATTATTTTCCATTACAGGTCCCTATGATGTGAGACACTGAATAGAGTTCCCTATGTTGTACAGTAATTCCTTGTTGCTCACCTATTTTATGTACCAGTTTGTATCTGATGATTCCATCCTCCTAACTTTCCCTCCCTCCTTATCTACTCTTCTGTGTCTCTGCCTCTTAGGAGTTAAAACAGGCACCACCCAAGCCAATGGTCAGATCCCCCAGGCAGCACAGTCTGTGAATACTGCTCTCGGAGAAGACCGGAGACACGCCGAAACAACCAAGGTAAGACTGGGGGTACCTGACCTACTCCTATCAGACTGTCACTGATACATATATATACATACATACACTGTCACACAGCCCATATTCTAAACTGTGTTCAAGTAACTGCTCCTTTAAAAAAGAAAAAAATACAGTTCCAACAACTCAAGTCGCTATAATTTCATTTAGATAATTGTTCCATATGTATATATATTATCTTAAAGTTACATAGGCTAGAAGGGAAAATTAAAACCAACTACTACCAACACAGCTTCAGGAAAATGTAAGAATCTTTTTTAATTCTGAGGATTGGTAACTATTTTTAGTTTAGCTACACTTATTTTGACTGAAGTGATTCTTGTTTGTTTAATTCAAGTGGTTTTAGCCCTCTCTGAAAGTGGCACCTACATTTTAAACCCTTGGGATTTTAAATTATTTTTTCTGAATAACTTAAAGCAGTGTGATGGTCAGAAGCCCTTTATTAAATGCTAACTGGGCCCCAAACCAAATTAGAAGAATACTGATAAGGTTCCACTGTAAAATATGCATTTTGTATTTTTCTGTTAATGTTCTACATACATCCTCAGGTTAATGGAGAATAAAACACTTTTGAAAATAATAGCCAAATTGGTATAACATTCTCCATAACTTTTTTTTTCAGTAGAGGAGATATAATGAAGTTATTTAAATCTAAAATTTGGCTAAAAATTATAGTTACTAGTCCAGTTGCTAACATCTCAATTGACTATACAAGTTCCACTGAATATTTCTCATATGTGACTCAAACCAACTCTAAATATACCTTCAGAAGTTTTCCACCTCACTCTCCCCTGTTACTTTGTCCCATCAGCCAGTGGTGGAAACAAGTCAAATAGTTATTGAGCTGCTTATAATTTTTGAAAAAAATTTAGTTCATTAAAAGGGCCACCTGGGAAGCCCTTACGTATGTACAGGAGCAAAATAATTTCAGACACCCGCTCCTGACGACTGCATTTCACAACCAGCTCAACTCAGACCAAAACAATGTATCTGTGTATGCCTACAACCCTAGTAGGGCTTCTCTGGTGGCACAGTGTAAAGAATCGACTGCCAAGCAGGAGGCTTGAGTTCGATCCCTGGGTCGGGAAGATGCCCTGGAGGAGGGCATGGCACCCCACTCCAGTATTCTGGCCTGGAGAATCCCATGGACGGAGGAGCCTGGAAGGCTACCGTCCAGGGGGTCCCAGAGAGCTGGACACGACTTAGCGGCTTAAAAAACAAGGGTAAAGACTGAGGTAACCCCAAACTAAACTGTACCACTAGAGCGCTAAGACACTAGCAACCTTGTATCAAGCAGTTCCTAGAAGACACATTATTAGTATTATAGTAAATACCTTGTGAAATAGGGCGAAGTCTTCCATGTACGAAATACAAGGAAGATTAGCACCAGGTGATAACGTTAAATAATATCATTGATGATCCTGTTGGAGGGCATTTGGAGTCGTTCTCTGTCCCAGAGCACAGAAGGGCTAATTCAGGGACAACCTGGAGCCTCAGGACTGAGATTTAGGGGCCACCCCTGGCGGGGGTTGGGGGGCAGGGACAGATGCTTCCTAAATCCGCAGACTCACCCGTCCAGGTAAACGTCATGGCCGCACGGCCGGGTGGTCACAAGCATAACGCTGTTGTCGCTTTGTTAAAGGACAAGAAGCCCGGCCTCGGCAGCCACGACCCCGGAGCGCCCAGGGCCCAGCCCCCTCCCAAGTCCAGCCTGCCTCCGCCCCCTCCTCCGGTGCGCAGGTCCTCGGACGTGGGCGGCGGCAGCCCGGGGGCGCCCCCCAAGGCCAAGAGCGCGGCCGCTAGCTCCCCAGCCCAGCCCGCCGACCTCCTGCCCCCGCCGCCGCCGCCGCCGCCGCCCCCCCTGGAGGACGACGAACTCCCCCCGCCACCCCCCGACTTTAACGACGCGCCCCCAGACTTCGTGCCTCCCCCGCCCCCGTCGTTCGCGGGGGATTTGGGGTTCTCTCTGCCGCCGCCGCCGCCACCCCCAGCCGCCCTCGGCCCCGAACCCGCGAGGACGCCCCCGGTGGTCGTCAAAAGGCCGCCGCCTCCGCCAAAGAGGCAGGAGAACCCAGGACCGCCGGGCGGGGGAGGCGGGGAGCAAGATTTCATGTCGGATCTCATGAAAGCTTTGCAGAAGAGAGGCAACATGTCCTAAAGGGAAGCTTAGAAATACCTTTGGATGATGGGCCTTAACCTTGCTAGCCTGAAGTGTATTTTTGCTCCTTTGTTTCCATGACATCTCGTTCGTTTTAGATACAGTATTGAAGTAGAATGCGCAAATGTAAACTTCCCCCTGTTGCCCAAGTACATTAGTAATCCCTAACCTGCACAGAATTCAGACTGTCTGCGTCAATGTACTTATTTTTTCTGTGTATTCCCATTTCCATGGATTTTTATCTTCCCTTTCAGGTTGACTAAAATAATGTTTTTGTTCATTTATTTTATTATGTTCTGAACCATCAAATTAATAAAAGTTTAAAATGTTTTATCTGAAAATGGTATTTCTAGAAATATCAGTATAAATCTAGTGCAATATCAATCCTATTTTATAATATATATTGACCTTTTACAAATCCTAGGCCTTCTAAAATCTTGTTGATCTTCGAAATATGTTTCATCTCTGTCTCAGTAACCTCCAGAATTTTCAGAAAAGTCGAAAGAGGAGAAAAAAAAACGAGGAGCCGTAAACTGAATTTAGTTTCTTTGAGATTCATTGTTTGGTTGAAGTCCTGGACATACCTAACTTGGTTTTGGTTTTCTAGTAGCTGAATAACATAGTAATTGGGGGTGGGGTGGGGAAGCTTTTTAGATAGTTTTTGGATTCTGTTACTTTACTTTTATTTGCTATAAGTTGTTATGATGCTACAAATTGCTATAAAAATTTAGAGGCAGGAAAAGGCAATCATATGCTTCAATCTGGTATGTTTTCCCTCAGATAAACTTAATGCTCAATTTTAACAACCAGTTTAAGTTCCTGTTACCCTTATCTCTCTTCTCTAATTGGCTGCGAATCCTTTTAGATTTTTTTCAATTTTATTTCCATGGTTCTGTTTCAGTTTCTTTTTAAATATAAAACACCTCAAAATCAAAAGTAATCTCTAAGTTGACATTTAAGACAGAAAGCAATTTCAGGTTTTAAAACCAAAATATTTAATCATTAAACCTTGGTAAGGTGCACTCAATTTTTCCTAAACACTGGGACCAATGGCCATGGAAAGGAAGGGCTCAGAGAGCAGGACCAGGGGACTGAGAAAGGGAAAGGGAGAGATGTGTTTATTATGGGCTTCAGTGATGACCCCCAAACCATCAATTCAAACATACAGAAATATAAAAATGCAAACTTTAAAATGTTCTTGAGTTTTAGCATTAGATGATACATAGGTTTAGAAAAACTACAGAAGAGAATTAGCTGATTTTGTGGTCAAAGTATTGATGCAGTTTTAGTGGACCAAAAGGTTGAATGCACTGTTTCTGTCTATCCCTGCCTTTGTTACAGGATATAAATGAAGACATTAGGAAGCAGATGGTCTAGACAGTCCTTGCTTTGCAGAGTTCGGCCTGCACAAGTTCCAGTTAGCACAATGTAGTTAAATAACACTAGACTCCACAACATGGTTCGTATATGCTGCCATGGTATTTTAACCAGTAATTAGTTTTAACTGGTAAGTAATTATACGGAGTACAAACTTTGCTGTTAGCTTTTCAACCCACAAATCACTATATAAGTAACAGATACATATCATGATCAGTGACCAGTTACATCCCTTCTTTCAATGCCTGTTAGGGACTGACCACTGAATATTTGTTATTCAGTTTATGTACAGACAGAAAAGTGTCTTAAGGTGATAAGGTATTATACATGTGTGTCAAGTCATTAATGTTTGGAGATACAGAAATATTCATAGATTAATTGAAACTATGTCAGAATTCCTTTAAAATACTTGGGGATATGTAAATTATACTTCAGTGAAAACAATAACTAGAAATGGAAAGTGAAAGGATATAAATGAAGTAAGACTGATCATGCATTGATAATAAATTGGTTGAATGGTAAATCAGGTTCATTAAACTATTCTCTTTATTTTGGTAAATGATTGAAAATTACCATAATAGACAAAAAAAGCTTCAGGAGTACAATTAAATTATATTATTTGATATGACCCAAATTTCTAGGTACATGGTATTAGATTGCTAGTATTAGATAAAAACTTATAAATTCATTAAAAGATTGTCATAATTTTTTTTTAGTTATTGAGAATAACTCAGGTGGTTTATTTATTTATTAAAAAATTATCACAAACATGTTCCAAAGAGTAGGGCAAGTTTATTTGGTTAAAAATATATTTCTATACATTACCATTATTATAGAGTGCAGTATCGTCAAGAAAATGTAGGTGATCATTAAGAATTTATCAAATAGATTGTTCTATCCTGGATTTGATGACAGAAGTATTCCTTAATTGATTTGCCCCAAATTAAGATGAGCAGCTAACCCTGAGGCCTCTGGCCCAGGAAGGAGTTGGGGAGGAATAGCCTGCTCTCTCAGCTGCAGAATGCTTCTGGAAAGGATGGCAGAGAACTTGCTGGAGGAGGTGGACCTGGGAAACAATTTAAACTAGATAAATACAGATTCTCTTACTAGGACCCTTATGAATTTTCTAAATTTTTGAAACAACTAGGTAAATTTTAAATGTATATGAAGCTGCTTAAACATTTTCTGTTTCATTACAACTTCAACTACGGCTGTTACTTAAGATTTCTGTTGTTCCACAGAAAGTTCCTTAGGTATTAGTTTTTTTGCTAAAACAGCAGAGTGAATATGTACAGTGTCACGAAGAATATGTATATATCCTGATCATTTCTTAACTCCTTCACAGCATTAAGAGAATTATAATTTTCTAAAATAGTTATAAAAATAAGAGGATGTCAGTGATTTACACTATTTCCAGATAAAGGGTATGGATTCCAACTGATGCTCCTTCCTCATTTGCAATTTTGCCCTGTGACGTAAACTGAGGCATCAAAGAACTCACCTCTTTCAACAATAAATTCTAGGATCGAAATGTGTATTTTCATTTAGTTATAAGTAAGTCATGGGGATATACTGCATGGTGACTATAGTTAATAATACTTTACTGTATATTTGAAAGTTGCTAAGAGAATCTCAAAAAAAAGAATAGCTCTCTAAAGTCCTCATCACAAGAAAAAAAAAAGTAGCTATGTATGGGGACGGATGTCAACTAGACTTACTGTGGTAAGCATTTCACAAAATACACAAGTGTCAAATCATTATGCTGTACACTTGAAATTAACAAAATGTTACATCCAACTATACCTCAATTTAAAAAGTAAGGATAACACATATTAAACCGATCTATCTCACCTGCTAGTTTAAAAGCTCCCTGAATATATTTTTATACTTTTCCACAGCACCTTGCAGAGAGTGGATTCTCAAGAAATGTTTGATGCAGAAAAGTAAACAGAAGAGGTATGTGTCAAGGGTTATAGGTCTGAAGGTTTGACCAAATCTTTTTCTTTTCCTGAAATGAGAATTTAACCCCTGGTTAACTTTCTGGGTCTGTTCCCCTGATAACCTGATGAGTGTTTTGTTCACTGTATCACCATACAACATGGCTCATGACTGACAAATAACACTTGGCCTGGGATAACTGTAAACACCTGCGAGAACGCCGGGGATCCTTTCCTGTGAGGACTCGTGGGATAAGGCAGGTCTCTTGCGGGGATATTGGAAACTATGCCCATGGAGTTGTTATAGGAGCCACTGATTTGTGTGGAACATTCAGCTCTTCAGCCAGGGCCACCCCTGCGCCTTCCCAGCGTGGATCATGTCCTCCTGCACCCGAGCTTTACCGCTGTCCCTTCCTGCCTGTGTGGACACTGCAAGAACTGCAAAGGAGGAGCCTGATGGTGCCTGCCGGTAAGCTGTGCTTCTGTCCTATGTCTTTCTGAATCAAGTGGGGCCAAGAGCAGCCTGCAGTAATCTTAGGAAGCTGAATGTTTACTTGAACCTAGGAAGATACCTCCCCACCCACAGTGGACACTGCATCCTTACTTAAATATAATTTTGAGGAGAGAGAGAAAACAGGGAATGAACAAAAGAGAGGGAAGGAAGGCAAAACAAGCCAACAAAATACCTTATTAAACACTGTTTAGTTCCCTAGTTTAGACTGATTTATCTAAATATAATACTGACAACTCCTTTCTCTTTGTTTTTCCTTAATACTCTAAGAAGGTTACACTTTATTTCTTTTTTTAGTTCTACCAGTTTATTGCTACCAACCCATCTCCCTCCACCCTCGTGCACACATGCTCAGTCATGTAATCCCATGGACTTCAGCCTGCCAGACTCCTCTGTCCGTGGATTTTTCCAGGCAAGAATACTGGAGTGGGTTGCCATTTCCTTCTCCAAGAAGGTTACACTTTAAAATATTTTATTTTCTAAGATGAAATGCTGGATTTTGTCAAGCTAATTGAACTACTGAAATGAAAAGTTAATGCAAGCTCCACATTAGAAATGGCAAGAACAGTTTCTCTGTCATGCCCACTCTGGTGGGTTGTGGTGACTACACAGTATGCTGTAATGAAGAAGATTCTGAGGCTGTGACCCATGTGGGACAGAAAGAGGGCCATGATCATCAGTAACATCTGCAGGATTGAAGAAGGACAGCACAAGTGCCGGGATCATTCCTCTTCTAAAAAAATATTGTAATGCATTTTTAAACAATTAGGAAATATTTGAGATGCAGAAGGTATACAGAATAATAAAAACAAACACCTGTGTACCCTCTACTCAGCTTCCTAACCCAAACTTCCTCCTTGTTGCTAAGCAACCACCGTCCAAAGATGATATTACTATCTCTGTTCATTTTTGTTACTTTTATTATATGTGCATATATCCCTAAAAACAAGATTTTACATGTGTTACATGAAATTGGGGTGGCGACACATTGTATGTATTCCTTTGCTTATTTTGCTAACATTATATGTGAGATTCATCCAAGCTGAAGAGTGTGTAGATGGTGCTTTCATCTTCATGGATGTCAAGACTCATTTCAGTGGACCCAGGTCACTACAGCCATGGAAGCCTGGTGAAAACAAAACCTAACTCCCTCTGGAGAGATGCTCAAATCAGGTTTCACCAGATTTCTGAGACTAAAATCCAAACCCCCCAACATGAACAGTGAATAGCAGAACCAGACCCTCAGGAGTTCAAATAATGTAGATATGTGATATCAAATGAATACTTAAGTTTTTAAATACATTAAAGAATAAATTTTGAAATAGAAGAAAATGCTCCACTGATTTAAAAAAAAGAAAGAACAGGCAGTGAGAATTCTGGGAAGTTAGTGCTAGCAATGATGTGGTTTAGTAAGTCTGCAAAGAAGAAAAATAAGTGTGTTTAAAAGATGATACATTTAAAAATGAATAAAAATAAGTCCAGAAAAGTCAACGACCTTACCTCTGAAAAATCGTTCCTTTCTGCTTTTTGCACTGCAGATTCTGCCATCCAGTTCTTCAGCATGTATCTAGGATTAACAGCTTAAATAAAGGGGGAGAGGTGCATTGTGGGACAATGATTACTAAGTCGAAACAGGCCATATGAAATTACCACTGAAATGAGATAACTTTTAAGAACTTTGCTGGAAGGCCCAAATGAGAACAATGATCAACATCAGTCAATTCTGATTGTTTACAAACAATGTACAGTATTCTGACCTTGTGGCACAGAAAAAACTTTGTTTAGCATTATGAGCAATATTATGGTTTATCTTTTCAGTGTTTCATCGATTTGGTTTTTCACCATGTTCAGTTCACTAAGCATTTTATAAAGTGCAGAGAAAGTAGCAAATTCATCCTGTGGCCCATGTGAAGAGAGGAAAAAAGTTGCTGCTTTTAACATCTTCAAACAGAATTAAGGTCTGACTCAGACTGTTCAATGATGATATTGCCAAGGGCAAACAGGAAGGGTTACATGCAAGCAAAACTCTCTGTAAATTTATATTTTTTACAGTAACCATGCATTTTTTCATACTAAAAAGTATTATAATAATGGGACATTGCAGAAACTATGTCTTTATTTGAGATGAACCTTTTCCAAAATAATTTATCAAGTGGGTGGAGAGGAGGCAAGTTTATCCCCAGTGGCATAACAGGAATTCAGAAAGGACTCCCAATATCACCATTTTGTGATTCTCAACAGCATTCTTCTGAGTTACTTGAATGGACAGAACATACAAATTCCATTTCAACTTGGTTTTAAAGATCTGCCAAGACATGGCAGATAATCTGAAATACAACTTCTAAAACAGAACATCCCTGTGACCCAAGTAATCCTATTTCTCTAGGAACATAGTCTATGGAAACAAATTTAAACAAATTCAAAAGCATTATTTATAGTATGGAAAATTCGAAACAACATAAATACCTATTAATAGGGGGCTAAGTGAGACATTACACACCCTTTTGTTAGGTAGTTAGAATAGAAAAGGAGTCCAGAATGGCGGTGGCTAAAAGACCTGGAAGGGAAAAGCCCACGAAAATAGAACAAAGGAAGGTCCGAGGACCGAATGAGAACCTCAGGTAAAACAAACAACACTCTAGGCTGGCCCAATTTACATAAGACAGGCCCAGGGACAGAGAAACATATAAAAAGAGGAGCCAAAGCCCTCTTCTCTCTCTCCAGAGCCATGGGGCGCTCTTCTCTTCGCATCTTTGGGTTGACGTGCCCTCACGCCTCAAAGATGGATTTTCCTGCTATTTAAATAAATTGAGCTGTAACACTGATTTATTTAAGAGCTATAACACGGTCTGTCCTCCGAGAGCTGTGACCCGCCAAGGGGCTTTAATGTCCGTCACTCCAAATTTTGGTTGTGATGAGACAAAGAACCGAGGAGCATACACTCGCCTGACACTTTCAAAGATATATTATGCAGTCACTAAAAATGTTACATTATAAAGGATGAAGTAGGAAAAATGTTTATTTTTAGTTAAAAAAGCTCTAAAACTAAAAAAAAAAAGCTCTAAAATTATACCACAATGATTACTACAATATTTTCTCATAATCAATACACACAGAAAAAGAGAGGCCAGAAGGAAATGCATCAAAGAGTGAGAGCAATTGTGTTTGAGTACGGGAGTCTTTTTATTCTTTCTACAAATTTGCATTTTCCAAATTTTAAAGAATTCATAGAGAACTCTTAAAATAAAAACACATACAGACAATAAATATATACAGTCCTTAGATGAAAAAGAAATTGGCATGCAAAGAAAACTGTGGAAGCAGTCAGATTAGGCAGAGGGAGTATAGTCACCCAATTTAAAGTTGGACAATCTTAACACGTTAGAGAGACCTGGCAGTGGAATGCTGTGAAAATATGCTGGGACTGGCAGCTGCAAACAGGTGTACCTTGGATCAAATTACACACATACAAACTATTTGAAATCAGAAAATTGTAGATCTGCTTATAGAATTCTTTGACGAGTTACCTAATTCAGTACAGTTTTTTAATCTGGTCTGGAACTTTCCCATTGCTCATTGTGGAAATTAAGAGTACACTGTTCAGCACTTATTATTTCTTTAACTCAAAGCTGCAGCCTTGAATTCACTTAAATATCTTTCATTTTTCCATCTCATCCATCCTGTCATGACCAAACAAATCCAAATCCTAAAGACAGGCATTATATTTTCTTCTTTCAATTTCTTTTTTTCTCTTAATTGCTAAGACTATCCATATTGAGCTGCCCTATAAATTCTGTATGACTACATCAATGTATGTAAGTGGCTGGCTTACGTATCTGGGGCCCATGCTGAGACCCAGATATATTCACTTCCTTGTAAAAACTCCGCTTGCTTTTATTTCTACAATGATGTCCTGAGTCAAAAAGCAATCTCATCCACTAACTTAGTGTGGGATATTTGCATCAACCTTATTTCATCCACATGGATCAGCCATGCTGATGATACCAACTTACTAGCTCTCCTCAAGAGTCCTCAGTAAGGCAGGAGAACTCCAGGACTTGAGTCCTTCTGTCTTAACTTATTTGATCTGTTAGATCCCACAGTGCAAAAAGAACTAACTTCCATTTTTTTTCTTCCATTTCTTTTACCAAGCATGATGTCGCATGGTAAACTGAAAGCAGTATATAAAGATGTTTTTGGTTTTTTTTTAGCTCTATCATTTAGTGGATGTGTACTTTGGCCCAGGAACTGTAACAAGATAACTTACAAATATTATTGCTCACGATCACAACATTCCTGCAAAATATGCCCCCTTTTCAAACAGCTGAGAACCTTGAAACTATATTATATAGCAAAAAAGTGGCAAGACGAGATTCATCTGTCAGATTCCAAAACTCATGTTCTTTGCACCATAAACCACATAATCTTCCTTGTCTCTCCACCATCTTTGAAGACCATATTATTTAAACATCAATCGGCAAATATATTGAAAGCATGGGTATCGTACTCAAAAGTCACCTGCTGAAACTAGAAAGGCTTTTATTTGACACTTCAACTCCAGTAAAATATATTCATCTAGAGTTACTGTAGTTAAAAACAAAACAACAAATTCAGTTCCTTCAAGTATTTACTTCCAGGTTTCAAAACCTATCACTTTTATGTAGAAATCTTTAAAGATGAAAAAAATCAAAAGGATTTACTTACCTGTCATTCTTTTTCTTCTTTCAGAATCTGAATCATTGATGTTACTAAAAAAATGAACAAAACAAAGGACAGAATTAATCACTGTCTCCCCAAATCATATCTTTTTTCCAAAAGGGTTAATATTATTTCATAAGACAAATACTGAAAAAATTTTAATTACACTGAATCAGTATCTGAAAGGAAGACAGAAAATACTGTTTGATTAAACAATACATAAAATAATGCCTTATTTAGTTATTTGTGCTGTGCTGTGCTAAGTCGTTCAGTTATGTCCGACTCTTTGCAACCCCATGGTCTGTAGCCCGCCAGGCTCCTCTGTCCATGGGATTCTCCAGGCAAGAATACTGGAGTGGATTGCCATTCCTGTCTCCAGGGAATCTTCCCAACCCAGGGATTGAACCTAGGACTCCCGCATTGCCCACAAATTTTTTACTCTGTGAGCCACCAGGGAAGCCCATTTAGTTATTTGAGATAAGCCCAAAACGTTTATTTCTACCAATTAAATAATTTTGTCTTAAAAAACTTAAACCCCCTGGCACCTATCTTTATCTTAAAGACAGGTTTCTGAAAATAGCTTGCTCTTCGTTCCTCACGGCCAGCTTTACGAAGCCCTCGGCTGTCATCAAACTGCGAAAGGCTGTTTGCTCCTGTGCATGCTGCGGCCCCCTCTTCAGCTCTCTCGTGTCCTGCCCACAACGTCATGCTCTCTCATGTTTGCCGCTTCAGAGTCACTGTGACGGCCATGAAGCAGAGTGACTTCTGACAACTGTGTGAGGTGTGAGGACAGCTAGCAGACACTGGATGAAAGCCCAGGGCGCGCGCTCTCCAGAGCTTCAAGGCTCTGGGGGGGTCCTTGGGCTGTGCTATCAGAGCTGAGGTGAACAGAAGGGTGCTCTCTGTGGGTGAGATGTCAGCACACACACCTCATCCAGAGCAGACTTCCCGGGAGCTAGAAGGAAATGCTGGAAAACGGAAAGGAAGTGAGGGGTCTGATGGGTTGATGATGCTAAAGTAACACATTACATGCTCTTTCAAGAAGTGATTAGGTTACTTTACCTCTTCAGTCTCGAAAGGTACTGGGACACCCAGGCAGGAAAGAGTTTGTGCTTTGAGATCATTTTCAGTGCCCAGAATTCCTAGAAGAAAATACAGTAATAGACTGCTTATTAATGTTTGTTCCGTTTATTTTAACTGTATGTTCCTTAAATTGTATGTTCCAATATTAATAATTTATAACATCCAGATTTCTTTTAAGGTTCTCTATTTCAAGCAGAAGCAGTAAAAACGAATGTTTTCCTTTTCTTTATAAAACATTCAACTCAAATTCTAATTCATGGAAATCCATGTAATAGAATGATTTAAGAGAAATAAAAAAATATACAAAGTTCTTATAAATAGACATTACATGTGAATACATATCAAAACCCTTCCTTTAAATAGGGAACTTGCTTAATTTATAATTTACTTTGAAAATTTAATTTGTAACTTTTATTTAGTTATCTACTAATTCATTATGTCAGCTATGTGCTAGGAACTGTTAGTTGAGAAGGATATAAAAATTAATTAAGACATAGACTCTGCTTTTTAAAAGGAAAATGTGTAAACAAATAATTCAGTGCCATTTGAGAAGTGTTATAGAAATATATATAATGGTTAAAGGAACAGAAATAAGCAATTAGTTCTAGCTAAGTGTTACGGGGTTGAAAAAGTTTCAAATTCAGAAGACACAGAAATGAGCTATTAAAATAAATAAAGGCATGTAATCTCCTCTCCTAGATTTTCCCAATATTCAGTAATTTAAATATTAACACTTGTCAAGAACTTGTTCAGATCACATTAACATTACTTTGTCTCAGTTTTCTACACATTAAATGATAATTAGTTCTGATAGGCAAATCATTACTAATTTTAAAATTATATCCAAGATGCTTAATAGTTAACATTTTGTTGAATAAATAGACATTCTTTTATTCAAATCACTCCTAAAAACATAATTTATGGCTATTTCACACCTGGGAGAACTATATATATATATATATAATTTTACGTAGATATATACATGTATATATTTCTTTAGTTAACACAGAAAAGATCAAAAATATAATGAAGAAACTGAGATTTTTAAAAATATGGCTATGTTTTTATCTGAAATAATCAAAACAATGATCAATATAAAAGATTCATACCCTATAAGTAGATCTATATTTATAAAAATCTATAATAAGTAGGAGTCTTCTGGTTAGTTCAGTTCAGTTGCTCAGTTGTGTCCGACTCTTTGCAACCCCATGGACAGCAAGACACCAGGCTTCCCTGTCCATCACCAACTCCTGGAGTTTATTCAAACTCATGTCCATCGAGTCGGTGATGCCATCCAGCCATCTCATCCTCTGTTGTCACCCTTTCCTCCTGCCTTCAATCTTTCCCAGTATCAGGGTCTTTTCCAGTGAATTGGTTCTTCGCATCCAAGTATTGGAGTTTCAGCTTCCGCATCAGTCCTGCCAATGAATATTCAGGACTGACTTCCTTTAAATGGACTGGTTGGATCTCCTTGCAGTCCAAGGGACTCTCAAGAGTCTTTTCCGACACCACAGTTCAAAAGCATCAATTCTTCAGTGCTCAGCTTTCTTTACAGTCCAACTCTCACATCCATACATGACTACTGGAAAAACCATAGCTTTGACTAGACAGACCTTTGTCGGCAAAGTAGTGTCTCTGCTTTTTAATATGCTGTCTAGGTTGGTCATAACTTTTCTTCCAAGAGGCAGCATCTTTTAATTTCATGGCTGCAGTCACCATCTGCAGTGATTCTGGAGCCCAAAAAAATAAAGTCTGTCACTGTTTCCATTGTTTCCCCATGTATTTGCCATGAAGTGATGGGACCAAATGCCATGATCTTATTTTTCTGAATGTTGAGTTTTAAGCCAACTTTTTAACTCTCATCTTTCACTTTCATCAAGAGGCTTAGTTCTTCTTCACTTTCTGCCATAAAGGTGGTGTCATCTGAAGTTACTGATATTTATCCCACCAATCTTGATTCCAGCTTGTGCTTCATCCAGCCCAGCATTTTGCAAGATGTACTCTGCATTTAAGTTAAACACGCAGGGTAACAATATACAGCCTTGTATATTGTACTCCTTTCCCAATTTGGAACCAGTCTGTTGTTCCATGTCCAGTTCTACCTGTTGCTTCTTGACCTGCATACAGATTTCTCAGGAGGCAGGTCAGGTGGTCTGGTATTCTCATCTCTTGAAGAATTTTTCAGTTTGTTGTGATTCACCCAGTCAAAGGCTTTGGCGTAGTCAATAAAGCAAAAGTAGATGTTTTTTTGGAACTCTCTTGCTTTTGGATCTCTCAATGATCCAGCAAATGTTGGCAATCTGATCTCTGGTTCCTCTGCCTTTTCTAAACCTAGCTTGAAGATCTGGAAGTTCACGGTTCACGTACTGTTGAAGCCTTGCTTAGAGAATTTTCAGCATTACTTCTGGTTAATATCCATATTATTCCATAAATGCAATGGATTAGTATTGAAATAAAAAGATGACACATATTCTTAAAACTAAATTAAGAACAGCCACTCTGGTAACAGTTCAGCAGTTTCTTTAAAAATTAAACATAAATTTACTAAACAACCCAGCACTTCTACTCCTCATATCTACCCAAGAGAAATGAAAACATGTTCACACAAAAACTTATACATGAATATTCATAGCAGTATTTATTCACAATAACCAGAAAATGGAAGTGATCCAAACGTCCATCAACTAGTAACTGGATAAACAAAACATGGTCTATCCTTATAAGGGAGTTATAAAGTAATGAAGAGGAAATAATATTTTAAGATCTACTTAAGAGATCTTAAAAGTAATAAAGAGGAAAGAACCACTGATATAGGTTACAACGTGGGTGAAACTCAAAAATATGCTAAGTGAAGAAGCCAGACACTAAAGACTACATATCATATGATTCCATTTACAGAGAATGTCTAGAAAGGGAAACCTTAAGAGACAGAGAGAAGATTAGTAGTTGCTTGAGGACAGAAGCAGAAAAGAGGGATTCACTGCAAATGGGCACAAAGGGTCTTTTAGAGTGTTGGAACTGCTCTAAAATCGAACTGTGGCATGGCTGCACAAATCTGCACATTATTTAAAAATCATTGAATTATACACTTAAAATGAGTGGAATTTTAGGGTATGTAAATTATGCCTTAACAAACCTGTTAAAGAATAGTGAGTTAAGAAAAAAGCCAAAAGGCATGATTAAATACCTGAGGAATGACTAGTTCCTGTAATTGGCTTTGAGTGATCTCACTGAGCTGCCGAAATGTCATTGTAAAGTCAGCTTCTGTCTTTTCCATGAGCTAATGAAAATAATTACATTTAGCAGCCTCAGTCATTCCAAGAATATACAGTGTATTCGATCAAATGTTAATCAGGAAATAAGATAAAATGATAATAAACTCACATGTAAGAGAAATGCAATTAAATCATCATCACCCTCGCTTTTCCCAAGTAATCCCAATCTGGCTTTGAACAGTTCACTAAATCTAAAAGGAAAAACGCCAATTCAATTTGTTATTAAAATTCTCTCTATTTTAAGAATTGCCCTCAAACCAAGCAGGATGCTTTAATATGTGTTCAAACAAACAAACCTTGTATAATAAAGAACGGGATACTCCTTAAGAATCTGAGTGGCACTGTAGGGAGAGAAAAAGAGAGCATAGGTAAACCTTAATTTAATATTCACATTCTTGAATTACATTTTATGTGAACAAAGTGAACCTTCTCATATATTAAATAATGTTCGATTATGCGCTACTGATTCTATTTTAGTGATTTAATTATATATCATATCCTAGAGAAAATTGTCCATATAAATTTACTGTCTCAAAGATTTGAAAACAGTACAGGTCAAATCATGTCAATCCTGAAATATCACTATATACAGTTAGCTTAGAGGATGTCTCTCCATAATACCAAGAGAATTTGGTGTATTTTAAAACTTATCTTAGACCCAAAACAATGCATGAGACACCTCACCCAATACAATGACATTTTATTTGCCTGAATGGGATGGAGGGGAAAATAATGCGCAAATAGATACTTAGTGAGGGAAAATATCTGAAAAACTTGTTCTCTTTTAACAATAGAGAAGGTGGCAGAGAAAGGAAGATAACTGTGGGGGGTGGGAAATGCAGTAGTTTCCAAATCAAAGCTGGTAGGGTAGTGGGGAATGAGTGAGTTGCTCAAATCATTAAAAGGTAAGGAAAGTAGGGGGAAAGTTAAATCAAAGATGATGCACAATGTAAAACAGAAGGAATAAAATATGTCAATTATTATAATCAATATGAATAGCTTATATATGTCTGTTAAATAAGAAGCCCGATTACTTAGAAATTCAGAAAAACAGTAACAAATAACCTTTGGATCAAAGAAGAAATAAACTATGATTTCACAGCACCTAAAAAACAATAAATAGGAGAACACTTAATCCTTATAACTATGGGAAAAGGCCAACACTGTACCCTCTCCCCCAAAAAATATATATATAAACATGTATGTAGTTTGGAAGTCTTCATTATTAAATATTAAAGATTGTTTTTAAAATGTTTCTTGGTTTTCAAAAAGTGATCACTATACAGATATATTTTCACACTGATTTAATTAGTAGATTTTAGGTTTACTCAGAGCTGCTTTTGCCTAGGATTCAATAATGGGTTTAGCGCTTGTAACAACTTGTTTAAATTAAACATCCCAATATTGGCCTGATTTCGTATTTTATATCTTCTTTCATCAGCAGATGTGTTTGGTATAAAATCTGTTTAGAAGAAAAATACAACTGTTTTACAATGATGACAATTATAATAGTTCTTTCTTCATTTTTAAGTTTACATTTAAACTTAATGAATTTATATTTATTAGATAAAAACATTTCTGACATTTAAACATTTAACTCGAGAGTAATGTAAATACTTAATACCCATGCTCATGAAAAATCTTTTAAAATATGAATATTTGCCTAATAGAGGCACACATTTCTAACCTACAAGAATTTCCAGGTTATCACGTGTACTTCACTCACCAACTCAACAGCATGTTCCCTCACCCTGATCCTATAACAGATCAGTAAGGGGCGAGGTTAAATTACTTGACCAAGGGCACAGATTAAGGATCCATCAGATGCCAGAGCTTAGACTCCTGTCTGTCTGACAGCGAAGGCCCTTCCTCCCTTCATGGCATCTTCTCTTAATAAGTAATTCTTTGGCTTTCTGTTTTTTCTGCCACTCCTAGGGGCTTGCAGGATCTTAGTTCCCAGACCAGGGATTGAAACTGTGCCCTTGGCAGTGAAAGCTCGGAGTCCTAATCTCTGGACCACCCATGGATGGGAATTCCCATCTTTGAGGACTCAATATTGTATCCCTGTGGCACCTATAAGATTGAGTAGCACATAACACAACTGTTTAATCTATGAACCCAATTCTTTCTACTACCTCAGCATTGTGTTAGCCATAATGGTTTATCTAAAATAAACCAGTGATAAAAAAAGAATATACATGTAAATCATACATACCTGGATTATAGGCCTCCATAAAACCAAATGGACCATAGTCAATTGTAATGGATAACAAACTGAAGTTATCAGTATTACAAACACTTAATAACAACAAAATGCCAAAAGCATGATAATAAAATAATGAAGCATTTTTAACTATGTAAAACTATACAGAATTGGAAAGGTCATGAAGATGCATTTGTTTTAGAAATGAAAAAAATTAGTTTATCAACTGAAAGTTTAACTGGTGAAGTCAAGTATCTTAATATATATTAAAACTGTATTTTAAAATTAAATTTAGCCTTTTGTTGTATACTTCCCCTCCCCAAAGATTTCAAATACTACAGGGACAAAAGCCCCAAGAAATAAAAGTTCCTTTCATTTGTCCTGAATTTCTAGCATTATTTTGAAATATATGTAGTTTGGAATGGAACTGAGGCTACTAAAGAAGTAACATTAATTCTCAAAGGTTGTGAGAGTGAGGGAAAGGTAAAATACCCATATTGGCACATATCCATATACCCCATAACTAACAGTCCTTAGCTGCAGACCACCAGCAGTGTGGGGAGGGAGTATGACCTCCTAGGAGAGGGAGTTGTGGCAGAATGTGGGGAAGGAGGGAGGCTGGGCGTGCATACACCAGCCTAATGTAGGAGAGTTGGACGTGGTGGCAGCAGTGCCCAGGGTACACAGTTTCACCCTTTTTCAGAGCAGGATGACTCTGCTTGTCAAAGTGTTCAGTATATATATATATATATATATATATATATATATATATATAGACTCTCTAATCCAGTCATTCCACTTTTAGGAGTTTATCCTCAGAAACTCACCTTCAAATGCAGCTGTATGGTAGTCACTGCAGCACAGTTCATAAAAGCAAAAACTCCCTGCTCACCACCCCAACCCTCCCAAGTAAGACACAGTGAGTATGCAATTAAGGCAGAGTTCAAGAGGTTTTGCAGTGTGAGAACCCTCTTTGGTATTCAGTAAGAGATCTTAGTATATATATGACTTGCTTTTCAGTATTCTCAGTTGAGGCAGATATTCCTTCCAGTGTAACCCTACGCAGTGAATGGCTTCCAACACACACAAGCCAGCCCTATTTTTATAGATGTATGAATACCATCCAAAAAAAGTCTAGAAGAATTGAGATGAAATCGTTACTAATGATCCTGGAAGATCAAGAATATCCTGGAAGACAGAACTCACAGGCACTTCTGTATATTTTAAATTCTTTACCATAAGCAGATAGTGCTTTTATGATTTAAGGTTTTTTAAAAAAAGCTTTTAAAAGACTTAATATATACTCACAAGGTTAAAAAGTTTTACAGGTAACAACACCCTCATCAAATCAAGGACGCTTATTCTATTTTGTGTATCTGTTCCATTCAAAATCATTTTAAACATGAGAGAATCGTTTCTCTTTTGCTAAAAACAAATTCATATATTATAAATGTTATTCCTACTCACTGGTGGGAATATTTTAAAGTACACACAAAAAAGTAGTCTTCTGGCTTCAACAGATTGATTCTACTTTCTTATCAGAAGACTGAAACATCAGTAGATAACTTACCATGAGCAAAACCAACAGACATCCACAAGGCAATGAGCTGTGCTGTCTCAAACACAATAGAAAAAAAATCCTAAAATAAAATTAAGAAGATTTTCAGATTTCTCAGTAGTGTAATATGCTTTTAGGATCTTTCTGTTTCCAACATGAAAAGATCCTCTCAAAGGTGGGCCAAAAGATGATTAAAGGGATGGAAATTAGTACATGTAAGAAAACAATGGAAGAACATAGAATTATTGACCCAGAAATAACATAGAAAAGACTCAGGCACAGTATTATGATCAGATTTTCTCCATGTACAGTAAGAAAAGGAAAAACATTAGAATTCAGCATAAAGGAGTTAAATGTAAACAAAATGAGTTATTAAACTTTGAAATGAGTCACCAAGAAAAATAATGGAATTTCTTTCTTTGTGGCTGTTACAAGAAAGAAAAAGGTTATGCAGATCAAAAAATTTCCATAAGAATAGAAAATCACATTTGCTTATGATGTATGTATTTTTTTTTATAACCACTACTGTAGAAATATCTATATATCAAATGTGTGAGAAAAGAATATATGTGACCAAGTTACAAAACACAACATACGTAGTCAGGATGTAGTCACATCTGTTCTCTTTTTCTAGACACCTTTCAAACAGAACAACTTCCTTATCCATGACTTGTCTGCAAGGTGGTTCATCATCTTTTCCTTTCAGAACATGTTCAAAGTGCTCTACGTTTCCCTTTTTAACTTTAGTTTTTTAAGCACTAGGTTGTAACCATTGATGGTGGCCAGCCAATAGAGAAAACAGAGTATTGCCCTTTGTTTTAAAAAAAACTTACCATCTACTAAGGGGAAGTACTCCTGTATGATGAAGTCTAATAACATCCTAGAGATAAAGGGGAGATAGCCATCAGTGTTCCTCAGAATACAATATCGAATATCAATCATCTCAGTCCACTCCTGACATTCATGAATTCATTAGAATGCATGCTTATCATTTTAAAAAATAAAATAAGATTTTACGCCCAGCCACAGAGAAATATTTCCTCAATACCAATCACAACTGGCAATATGTTTCTAAGATCATATTAGATGCCATCTTATTATAATGCAACTCAGATTGGTTCAACAAACATCTACAGAGAACCTCCAAGTGCTAGGAAAAAGAATGACAAAACCCAAAACCAGACATTAAAGAGCATAGAGTCTGTTGGGGAGAAAAACATCTAAAGAAATAATGACCTCAC